CTTCAAGACTACCCTTATTCTTAACCTATACATAGGTATAAAATCGATAGTACCAGTTCACCTGATTATACCTGGCGACCAGGCAATAGGGAGCAGTAAAATATAGACAATCTAGTTGCTTATGTTTTGTGCTCTAGAGTGGTCTTTGTCAGTCAGGACAAACACTTTTATATACTTTATGATAATATACTAGAACATCTGTTGCACTAGAACCGTTTGCGTGGATTTTGCAATTAGGACACTTTGTTTTTCATCTCCTAAAAGGATTAACATTGTTTACTAGGGACAAATGTCACTCTAACGTCCCGCCAACTCTTCGACCTGTAGCTGAGATACTAACTACCCCTAAAAATTGTTTTCAGGCTGAGTAGTAATTCATCTATTGCACTTTGAAGCAACATTGTATCCGTGCCTAACGATTTGAATGCTTTGGAGCTTTTAACCGCCCATTTGATTCTTTTAGCGGTACTTTTACCCTTTTTAGTAGTCGAGATACAACCCATGCGGGCATTATTTCGGCCTGAGTACGAACGACTTCGTAGGATTTTGTTCCAGGAAAGTGAGTTTCCTCAAACTTTCTTCTAGATCTGTGGTGTAGGTAATTACCGTTCGGTTTCTTAAATAAAATAGACAGGCTGGGGCTAGTTCCTCTATTCCTTCACAGAACTTGCGTCAAGAGCGATTCTTAGATTTTCTCAATTCTTTTTTCTATTCAGCGGAAGCTTTTTTGTAGTCGTTCCACGTACCTAATCTTTTAGTTCTGTTGAACAGTTTGCTCACCTCTGATTTCAGACGACCTAGTTCTTTATTCTACTGAAGTGCATCTCTCGATGTCACCTTTTGTCTCAAAAGACTTTTTTCCTATGATGAAATTATTAAGTCATGTAAGTGCTTTGAGGCACTATCAAGTTCTTCTGTGGTTTCGATGTTGTAACAGAGCCCGCCGGTTTAGAATTTCATGAGCTCTTTGTGGAAACGCCAATCTGTTTTCCTGGGTATTTTGGACTTTTCGAGACCCTGGGTAGGCACCTTTTTGTCTCATAGAATCTGTAGGCTATCCGACCTGGAGCCTTCTTCCACTGCATGCCAATTTTCAATCAAGCGTGTTATAAATGGATTCGCTAGAGTTAAATTTAATACCTCTTTTTCCCTTGTTGTGCGTTGGCGTCACAGCCCAGAATTAGTTGTTTGTGCCCCTTTTTGCACCAGCTGATGAGACTTTTGACTTCCTCTGGACACGGATTGTTTTGCTATTCGCTAGGGAAATAGGCAAAGAAAATTGTAATTTGCCTTTGGTGTCTATCCGTGGTACTTCTGGCACCAAGCCACTGCGACCAAGTCTCAGCTAATGAATTCTAGAATTGAAACAAAATTACGTAGTGTTGATGTCGAGCTCTATAACTGCTCTTGGTCTCTCACGCAATAGATTATCCTACATGACATTTTTGTTAGTCCGCTAATTTGTCCCTTTCTATTTATACAAGGCTCTTGAATGATACCTATGTCAAAACCTCCTTTGACAAACTTCCAATAAAACACGCTTGAAGCTGCTTTTACATGTTGGAATTTTATCTGCAGAAACCTCATTCTAGTCTTCATTGTGACGTTAGACTGGCACCTGTTTGCATTTAGAGTTTGCTTTGGGTTGCAACGTGGCTTTGGAGGTTTTCGTCTTAGGGTTTGGGACAGTTTTTGTCGCCTTTAGTTTTTCGCGTTCGATACCTGCTATAGTCTGTTCAGGTCCCTCCCTTTCTCGAACCTTTTTGGTTTTGCTCCACGTCAGCCTTAGTTGAACTTTGACGAACTTGTAGTTTACCAGATGGTAAACTACTACTACTTTTGCAATTTTTCTTCTTACTGAGGGTCATCAGAAACAGAGAGTTCGAGTGTGGGGCCCATAGGATAGAATTTTTTTATTTGAGTATTACTGACTACCTCGTACGTATGCCACTAGGATTTCGGGTTACCCATAGCCTGGTCTGTGTTTTGTGCTTAGAGAAGAGGATTTTACTTCGGATCCTTTCTCCAGCTCCATTATTTTTTTTACAATCGATTCCTGTATGGTATGTTGCCAGAACTTTTGTGGGCATGATTCCTACTCTTATGCCAGCGAGGACCTGGCTGAGGGAAGACTTCAAGGGATTAGCTTCTGGCATTTTCCCCTTCTTTTTTTCTATTCTTTACTAGAAATTTTGTCCTTGGGCTCTTTAGGAATGGCTTGTTTTGCCTTTCCTGGGATCTCTTCTTTGGAGAACCCCTTTCTGAAAAGTTTCTGCACGTTTACTTGATTTAGTTGTGTCAACCAAGGATGTGATCACTGACATTTCCAAAGAGGAGTTCCCATTAGTTCGTGAAGATTTACATCATCCCTGCTTAAGTATAAATATTACAGTTAAACTAGTTGAAAGCTCATATTTTCGGAATAACCCAAAATCGTTCTATTTTATTTTAAGAAAGCTGATTTAGTTGACCTATCAATATCGAGCTTTGAGTGGTATAAAATAAAAAAAATTAAACAAGTTGATACGGCTTGCAACTATTTTTTTGATGTATTGTTTGATTTGTTCCCACAGTTTGTATCATTAAGTAGTGGTCATTCAAAACGACGTAACTATCCTGTATGGTTCACTAAATCTACAATCGAATCATTGGAATAAGTACAGGAAACTGGTATAATTAATCACTTAGACAAACATAATAAACTGAGGCGAAAAATTAAATATGATATACGTAATGCATATTCTTCGTTTTTAAAAAATGCTGGACATTCCATTAAAGATAATCCAAAAAATTTTTGGACGTTTGTTTATTAACAATATAATAAGAAAAATCAAAGCAGGAGCCTTAGAAATATGATTTCTGATGGTAACACATTCACATCGTCGCAAGACATCGTTGACGCCTTTGGTCACCTATTTGCTGGTGTATTTAGTTCTAGTGGTAATCATATATGTGGTCAGTATTGTGATAATATTCGTTGTGACTTCTGTGATAAAAAGTGCTGTCCATCTTTGCAATTGAAATCTAGCTGTGAATCTTCTTCTATTCTACATCCTTTTAAAATAAATGGGTCTGACGTTGTTAAGGCTGTTAAAAGAATTAAGTCTAATAATTATTGTATCTGATTCTGATATTCTTCATATTTTTAATTTAATCTTAAAAACATCTGTAGCTGGTTAATATCGAGAGTCTGTCCAGTTTTCAAAAATAGTGATAAGTTTGATGTTAATAATTACTTACCTATAGCTATATTATCAAACTTTGCTAAATTGTTTGAAACTCTCTTATCTAATGTCATATAATCAGTGTTGGGCAGTATCTAGATACTTGTATCTAAATAAAGTATCTAGATACATTTTTGGGTATCTAATATCTGTATCTAGATAAAATCCAATTTTATTTTACTTTTTTTTCAGTAGTCATTAGTTGAGTTATACTAGTACTAATTATTGATACTTCATGTTGGTGATTTTGGTAATTAATAGTTTAGTCTTCTGTTTTGACGAGGCAAATTCATTCAAACCAAACAGATTTCTATGTGACATTCTTCCGATGTATAAACATAAACACTTGAAGTTAATAAGAGTATTATTATTGCTGAGAGGTCATTTCCTCCATTGTTTATCTGTTTTGAATATATTTTACTTTATCCGTACTTGTCCAGCGTCCCTGAAATTTGCACAGATATGGAGAGCCCCGACTTTAGTGGCTAACCCTGTATATGCCGTGTGTTAAAAAAATTCCAAATCCGTAGGTGTCGTGCTTTCCCCAGTGTGATGTGTAAAATGTGATTTTAATTTTAGTTTATTTAGGATTTTGTTTGGTAATTTAATAACAGATAAATAAGATACAATATACCTAAAATAATTTATACCGTAAGATGTACTTATGCATGTTTGATTTTTTTTCTGGAACGTAAAAAGCAAGAGTGATTTCATAAATTGCAGGTACAAAATTACATTATTTTATAAAATCAAATAGCATTTACCTTGCAAGTGACCTTAGATCAAAATACAAAATATGGAGGAAAAATTTTCTACTCCTCCTTCCCGGAGACGGAAAAACAGTGGAATAAGCCAGAAAGACTATTCACCCAGTTGCAAAAACCTCCTCAGCTTTAAAAAATAAAATGTTACAAATCGACACGAATATTTGAATAACGCAAATTTAAACGCAAAGAAAGAAACAGAAATCGTGATTAAAGTGGCTGGATTGTAATATTCGAACACCACATCAGATATCCAAATCATAAATGAGAGTTATGGGACGATACCTCTGATCAAGGCGATCGAGTTTGTTTCCGGCGTTACGTTATGTCACAAGCGAAAGTCAGAAAGATAACGAGACAACTTGCGTTAAAGTCCCTCTACTATAACACAAGAAAGAAAGCACACGCGAAATAAATACAACGAGCACGTATTAAATAAGGTCGTTTCAGTAACTTGATAAGAATAAACACAGTAAGACATAATAAATATAAAATACCCCTCTCATTTGGAGCCCATGATGACATTATTTTAATTGATTATAATTTTCAAAGTTCTCATCCCCGTAATGGATTAATGAGAATTTATGAAGTGTGACCAGCATAATAATTTAAGTAAAATCATCAATAACCTTGAATATCCTTTCTAAGTATAGTTGAACCTGAATAAGTGAATATCCGCCAAGAACATGAACATTATTCTTATAAAATAACATTAGAACGATGAACGATTAACAATTCTAATGTGAACTGTGAAATTACGAACGAACGTTTGTGATGTGCGTCTTTTCCCATTATAGTTTCGTCGTTTATCATGTTTTAAAGTAATGAAAAAATTCGTCCACGTTTTTTGATTTTGAAGAAATTACGCGTGGTTTTTCATGTACATGTTTGTTTAAATTAAATGATAACAGTAGTATGCATAGCACTTGTTGTTGTTAATTGCAACGTATATATGTTAATAATGCCACAAAAGTAGTTATAACTACGACTGACGAACATTAAAATTTTCCATTGTTATTAACATTATCAGACAGAAGTATACAAACTAGTTAAAATAAACGGCAGTAGGTAGAAATTTCGGGAAGAAATGTGTAAACCTTCAGGTACGTCCCTTTTTCTGTTTCTGTGAAAACCAAAGTGAATAATGGAAAAAATTTTAGAATTCCTAACTTGCAAACACATTTTAATTGTCGTAGTCTTCTTGGGTTTCATGTTACATCATATGTTAAGAATTAACATGTCAGTGGCTATAATCGATATGATTGTCAGTAATGGTTCCAATATGACAGAAGTACAACGCTTTGACTGGAACGAAGAACAGAAAAATGATATTTTGGGATGTTTCTTTTGGGGTTATATTGTAGCATCTCTTGCATCAGGCCATTTATCCGAGGTATATGGAACTCGTGCTGTCTTAGGTTCTGGTCTAGTTTTAGCCACAATTTGTACCCTTCTCACACCTCTCGTAACGTCATACCTGAGTTATACCTATCTGATAGTACTAAGAATAGGTGTAGGGATTGGTTTAGGTGTACAGTTTTCGTCTATAATGCCATTAGCGACGAAATGGATACCTCCAACTGATATGTCAAAATTTTTATCAACAATGTTGGCCAGTCAATTAGGTACAGCTGCAACCTTGATATTTTGTGGATATTTGATCAAAGCTTTTGGATGGCCTAGTGTTTTCTACGTTACTGGTGCTATTGGCGCAACGTGGTGTTTACCATGGTTTTATTGTGTTTATGATTCACCAAGACAACACCCAAGAATCAGCAAAGAAGAACTACAATACCTTCAGCAAAGGGTAAAGTTTCAAACAAGTGCAGTTCCATCAAGAAAACCTTGGGCAGCAATTCTGACTTCACGTCCAGTCTGGGCTATAGTGATAGCATTTACTTGCGTGCTTTTTAATGTACACAGTGCAATAAATTACACATCTCTGTATATGAATCAAGTACTTAAGTTTAATATCAAAGCAAATGGATTAATTTCAAGTTTACCCTTCATAGGTAAGACATTTTCACTTGGTTTGAGTGTTGTACAGTAGATATTTTTCAGCTACGTATCTTTCGTCAGTTTTGTCGAGCTTCCTAGCAGATAAATGGAACAAAACTGGTTATTTATCTGTTTATGCCATACGACAAATTTTTACCGTGGGAGCATTTTGGGTTTCTGTGTTCTCTCTCATAGTGCAATCAATTTGGGGTTATAATTATATCGTTTCTGTGGTGACCTTCATTATTTGGCAAAGTAGTACAGGTTGTCATATTGCTGGTTGCATACCTAACGCTGTAGATGTCACACCAAATTATTCTGGCACTATCCTGGGTTTGGGAACTAGTTTGGGGAGCATTATGGGTTACATGTCAACAAAAATTGTAGCCACGTTTATAAAAAATGAGCAAAATTTCAACCAATGGAGAGTTTTTTTCTGGGCCGCAATTGCAGTGAATGTGGTGGGAGCGGGATTTTACTATATTTTTGCATCAACCGAAGTGCAAGAATGGAATAATGCACCTCTTTGTTTGGAGAAACAAGAAAACTGCGACGATGCGATGGAACTATGTGAAATTAACGGAAAATAAAACTAAAAACTACACTAGGTATTAAGGTTGTGTTAAGAAGCCATTAAAATTATTGATCTATTAGCTTGTCTAGTTGACAATATTAGTTAAAAATATTTCTTTAAAATGCACACTGTAGTTTAATTAATTATAAAAATAACACAAACGATGGATATCATCAATACAATTTTTTCCTTATGTAACAAGAGCACTTGGAAAGAAAATTTGAGGCGTCCAAATTGGAAAAATTGGTTCTACCTTCAAAATTTGTAGAATTTCTTTCTTGTGTATTTTAAAAATGTTTTCTTTATTTTTGGTTAGAATATATCTTAAAAAAGAGCAATGGAAAATAAAAAGGTAAATTCTAGAAAACGGGGTGCATCTACAGAAAGTCGGAGTTTAGGAGTGAGAGATCCTTTGTTCGTTGCACAACCCCTCAAACCTTGAGAGATAACATGGTTCTGTCCAGGCGACTTGGAAGATTTTAGTTTTATTAACTTCTTATGAACCAATGGTTCACAAAAATCAACATCATTAAGAATAAAGGTGATTAGTAAACTAGCTAAAGAGTTATAATCTATAAAAATCTTTTTAACTGAAACTGAGGATGCCCTTTCAGGGTTAGATGAGCCGATTTATAAGTAGGGTTAATTTAGAATACCTCGAGTATTCTAAGTTAACAAGAAAGTTATTATCGGAGGAGATTATTAAGTCCAGAAAGGAGAGTTGTTACATCTAGCCCCGGTGCTGGAAAGAAAGTCCACCAAGATTCATTGAAACTCTTTCAAAAATAAAACACAAGTGACATCTAATATTCTTGAACATTTTGAAGAAAAAGACAGTGGGGTTTTCCAAGATTCTTTAAAAAATAAAACACCATAATAAAAAGATTAAGAAGCCCTCAAGATTCTTTCAAATTCTTTCGAAAACAAGGAACTAGGAATCCCCTAGTTTTTTCAATTTATTTCACAACGAAAATACTAGGGATTGCAGAGTTTTGTTTATATAAAACACAAGAGATCCCCAAGATTCTTTCAATATTTAAAAAAAAAAATCACAAGGAGTCCAATCATTCTCTCTAACTTTTTCAAAAATAAAAAAATGGGGATTCCTGAGTTCACCATAATAAAGAGACTAAAAGCCCCCAAGGTTCTTTAAAATTATTCACAAAGGCCCCGAAAATTCCTTCAAATTCTTTCAAACTCTTCCGAAAAAAGAAATCCCTAAGCTTGTGTCACACATCAAAAAAAGAAACTAGAGGTCCTTAAGATTCTTTCAAAGATAAAATACCAGGAATTCCCGGTTTGTGATCTTTTCGTCTTTTTGTCCTGACGTCCTTTCATTCTTTCGTCTTTTTGTACATTCGTCCTTTCGTCCTTTCGTCTGTTCGTCTTTTCGTACTTTGATCCTTTGATCCTTTCGTCCTTTGATCTTTTCATCCGTCCATCCTTTTGTGCTGTGAGCCCTTTTTTTGTTCTTTATTCTTTAATCATTCTCCATTCCTTTTTAGTCTTTTAATTTTTTCACATCTTTTCTAGTCTTTCATTTCTTTGATCTATGGTCCGTCATGTTTTGTTCCTACTTCTCTTCGTCCTTATCTCCTTTTTAAGTCCTTCAATGCTTTCGTCCTTTCATCTGTCGATTGATCCTTTAGTATTATTAGTCCTTTAGTTTTTTAGTCCTTTAATTTGTTGGTCCTTTCCTAGTATTTTACTCTTTTGGTCCTTCGTTCTTTCGTCCTCTGGTTTCTCTTCCGTTAGTTTCTGGTCCTTTAGTTTTATTAGTCCTTTAGTCCTTTAATTTTTTGTCTTTTTGTCCTTTAGTCTTTCGTTCCTTGGTTTCTCAGTTTTTTCATCCTTTCGCCCTTTCGTTACTTACCCCTTTCGTAATTTAATCTCTTAGTTTTTTAGTCCTTTAAATATTTAGTCCTTCTATAGCTTTTTAGTCCTTTTGTCCTTTCATTTTTTAGTCCTTCAACCGTTTAGTATTATAATTTTTTCCTCCATTAGTCCTTTGGTCCTTTAGTTTTATTACTCCTTTATTCCTTTAGTTTTTTAATTCTTTAGTGCCTCTCTAGTGTTTTAGTCCTTTTTCCATCGGTCTTTGGTTCTTCGTTTTTTCATTCTCTCGTTCTTTCGTCTTTTCTTTCCTTAGTCCTTCACTCTTTTCGTCTATTAAATTTTTTTCTTCTACTACTCCTTTGGTCCTTTAGTTCTTTAATTCTTTAATCCTTCTTGGATCTTTTAATCCTTCGGTCTTTCGATCTTTCGCCCTTTATTCCTTCTGCTCCTTAGTTCTTTGGCTTTTTGTTCCTTTATTTTTTAATAATTTTCAGTCCTTTAGTCTTTAATTTCTTTGGTCCTTCCGTCTTTCGTCCTTGGTTTCTTCACTTTTTCGTCCTTTCGTCTTTTTGTTCTTCCTTACGTCCCATTAATCCTTTAGTGCTTTGATTCTTTCGCCCATTCACCCTTTTCTCTTTTGGCCTTTTAGCCTTTTGGCTCTTTACTCCTTCAATAGTCCTAGTCTCGGGACGCCACAACGAAAGGACTAAGGAATTAACGACGAAAGAATGAAAGACAAAAAGGATACATGATCGTTTTCCGGGTTGGAACTGTGTAAATTGAGTTTTTGGACGTTTCGCACACAGTGGCATCTTCAGTGGCAGGGTTAAGAATAAGCCAAAAGAGCACGGTAACTCAGTATGTCAACTATACCAGAGGCAAAACTCTTTTTAAGTTTCTTTTCATTTTCTGGTTTCTGCTTTCTAACAAATTCAAAAAGTTTGAGATTCGGACAAACCAACACATTTTTCTTTAAACTTAGAGCAATTTGTGCAATCAAGCGAAATCCCATCAATTTAGAGATTTTGAAACTAACAGAATCACTTTTTAAAATTTCATTTCATTTAATTTAAATGAAATTAGGGAAATACAAAATTCTCAAAACGGCATGACGCCAAACGTCAAAACAGTAATGCGAGCAATCGGGGTACTCTATCTCTATAGTGACCCTAACCGGGGTGGCGCCTTCTACGAGAACGATTGCTCGGCTTCTAGACTTAAAAACGCAATTCCAGAGGTCTTAACTTCGATTGTTTATGTTTATACATAGAAAGAATGAGACGATTAAGCATGCAGCAAACTGCCTTCTCAAAACAGAGAAGTTGACTAAAAATACTAATTAAGCTACAATGGAGCAAAACATTCTGAATAATACAGCAGCTAGTAGTTATTATGACAATCCTATAATAAAGCAATATTGACCCATGAGTGACTCGAACCAGTGGGCTTCGTGATAATTCAACACATATCAGTTTTGTTATATTGTGGTGATGTAATTTCGAAAAAAAATCAAGAATTCATAAATCACAAGTATAGAAGTATGGTATTTTATAAAATTTGAAAGGACACCATTAAATTGTGGGCGGGGATGATTTGTCAAATTTTAAAAATAAAAAAATCGACATAGATGGCAGATGGGAAACGGTAAACAGGCAGACAGACAGATAGAAAACATGAAAATAGCCACTCTCCTGATGGACCCTACTATAATACGTTCGAGAAGTAAAAATGGAGGAACTTACTGATATAAAGGAAAAACCAATTGAAAACAATTAAATAAAAGTAAATAAAAATTTACTTTTATTTAAAATATTCTATGTGCAAAAAAGGTGTAGGTACAATAACAGTAAAGGTATTTGTTAAATTAAGTTAGATTCCAAAAATAAATAAATATCAAGAAATCTGAAAATTTATGGAGCTGCCACTAATTAAATTACTGACTGTTCTTAAGTTTATTTTAGTCCAGCCATTAGAGTCGACATTGAATAACCAATTCGCTGAATCTGAAACAAATATTCTTAATAGTTTTAGTCACAAAAAAATGTTTATTGGTCATGACAATTTATGGTATCGTGTTTCCTGAAATTGTTTTTCGTGATCATATTTCCAAAAAAATTCTCTGCTTTGGATTAGGTTTTCAAGTAATGGTCCATTTTTCAAGACAACAGTTTTTATAAGAATGAGCTGAAAAATTATTATTGCTGTTTAAATATATACTTTAATCTTGCTGAAAATTTCTTACATATCCAAAGCCTGTGATTGAACTGAAAACTTCAGCTATTTCGCCTATGTTATCGTGTTTGTATAGCAAGTTAATAATTACCATCGCGTACAAAATCAGTGCTAATGGATACAGTACATATAAAGAAATAATTTTAAAGAAAGGGTTACTAGTGCTTCTAAGACCACTAATGTTGTAACATTTCAGAGGAAGTTGAAAATAATTTCTTTGTTCGTGCTTCATCGTATAACTGAAAAATAAGTTATTGATTTTTATATGTGGGTGTTTATATAGGTATATACTTACCTAATAATTCTTACAGTGTCTTACTAGGAGGAAAGTTACTGATTACTTCTTTGATCTAGAATAAATGAACGAAATACAATAAAGTCACTTAGGAAATGTATGTCTGTTTTATTAATGCATCACTCAATTTTTAATTCATAGAACTACCTTTGACTGCTCTTACGAAATAATTTCCCTCATTAAAAATTCTCTTTATATTCTTGTAAAGCACTTATTGAAAAATGCTTTGAGGGTTAATTACAAACTAAGCGTCTGTAAGTTCTTTTTAAAACATCAATTAATAATCGAAAATTAAACTCGAATCCACACCGGTAATGAAATTTATGTTTCTCACAGAAATTTAAAACAGAAATAAAAATTCATTTTTCTAACACGGATTTATTGCTTTTCCTGTGGCTTAGAGTTTCTTTAAAACATTTAATTTCTAATACATATTAGAAAAAATCATGCCAAATAAAGGGGTACCCTAGTCAACGGTGACAGGCTGATAGGTACGTGATTTCTAAGGATTTGGTTATATGCAAAACGCATATTCTTTAACATGTCGGATATTCAGAAAATTATTTAAAATTTTTTAAAATTATTATTTATCTCTTCAGATAGCATCCTTCTAGCAAATACCCGTTTTGTCATTTTTTTCATTCTTAAATTTGTCAGTCCATATTTTGGTATACATAAAAATTTTTTTTTTCTCGTTTAATCCACATTACATTCTTAGTTCATGGTATAAATAGAATGGCTAAGGAAATTAGAAATT